ATAATATTTACTATTTTAGTTTTTCAAAGAAATGTTTATTTGTAAAAAAAACTCACGGCAAGAGCAGGGTTCAAGTCCCCCACCTCCAGCATGTGAATCGCATGCTAAAAACCATTACACCAATGTGCCGCTTGACAGCTTAAGCTATAGGACAGTAAAACAGGGTGAATGAGCAAAACTGATGCAGATGTTTACAAAGAAAGTGTACTACTGTAATAATTTGAGCTATATGAATATAATTATAATTATTAATTTCTTTAGATTCACGATTCCATATTAAATTCCCTATTAATCAGATTCTAAAAAGAATGCTTTTTTACTGCGATAATGATCACAAGTATTCATAGAAAAGGTTAAAACATTATAACATTTTATTAAGTATATAAACTTAATATAGTCAGAAGGAGCATGTCAAAACTTTTCCAAAATAACCACAGTAAGTAACCAAAGACTTTGATGCTTAAAATGTTTATGAAGAAAGTGGAATACCGGTTTGTATTTTTTATTTAAACTACCAATATCAGCCATATACTATCACGGAAGCTGGGGGCTAGCCGTGGAGAGAGACTGGCAAGACAAGAAGACCTTATGCATAGCGGTAAGATTGGAACAAACACAGGGGTTCAGTCCGGGCTCAAGGTATCGGGCGAAGTTGGGGACACGACAAAAGCCCTCAGGTAGCGGACGTTGGGTGACCTGTTGAGGCAAGCCTCTCGACAACCGATCCCAACAATCGGAAATATATAGCCCCAGACAACAAGACACACCAGAAGAACAAGTAAAGCACAGAGAAACTAGGATCAGGACAGAGCAGGAGTGCCCTCTAGATGTAGAGGGCATGACATACAGTGGTGTGAAAAAGTGTTTGCCCCCTTCCTGATTTCTTATTTTTTTACATGTTTGTCACACTGAAATGTTTCAGATCATCAAACAAATTGAAATATTAGACAAAGATAACACAAGTAAACACAAAATGCAGTTTTTAAATGAAGGTTTTTATTATTAAGGG